TCACGAAGGTTGATAAAAATTTTGGCATCTCTTGAAAGATTTTCTCGTACCCATTGCATTCTTTGTGAGAAAAGTTTGGTAATTCTTTTCACGTTGAATATTTTGTAGTCGATGCTGGGATAAAACAAATCAGCTTCTATGATCGGATTTCGAATGCCCAACTCTTTCATTTTCATCAAGCCAACAGGAATGGTGTCTGTGTCAGGAATTTTGGTTCGACTGTCAATTGATTCAATAAACTCTGTAAAAGCGTAAAATCTGCTAAAATCTTCTCCTTTTTCTGCCAGTTGACGGATAAATGTATCTCCAACACGGGTCATATGGGAAAACGATGTTACAATGATATCCTGAAAGCCAACTTTTTTTATCTAAAATAATCGAATACATAATTTCAAGAAGCTGTATTATGTACTGTTTAATAAACGAGCAGGAGTGTTTTATTAGGTTTAAAGACACGAGCGCGCAGCGCGAGTGGCTTTAGACCTAATAAAACACGACCTGCGAGTTTATTAAACGGCTTCAAACACGACTATACAAATTCAATAGATATACCGCCTTATTAGTATTCTTTATATTTAAAAAATACTAATTAGGAGTGTTTTACCAGGTTTAAAGCCACTGCACGTGACATGTTATAGTTTACCTGATTTGCCAATAAGCTTATGAATTATTAATGAGTGTTTGAAACATTATTTAAGAAATAGAAAACATTTTCCGTGTTTCTTTAGAGTTATAGAAACACGCGTGAAAGTTTGGGAGAAACGAGAAATTGGGTGGGAACACGTGCACGAAGTGCGTGTGTTTCCACGCAATTTCGAGTTTCTCCCAAACTTTCACAAGTGTTTCTATAAACTCTATACTACAGGAACACGGAAAAAATGTTTTCTATTTCCTTTATCAAATAGCCTTTTAAAAACAATAAAAAAGATAAATTTATTGATTTTAATTGCTTTCATTCAAATATTAATTCCACCTTAATATCGAACGTTCGTGTAAAGAATAATTATAAAAGCATAGCGAAGTAAACAAGTATATCGCTGTCAAAACAACAGACAGCACTTAACAATAACAGGCTTACTTTACTAAGTATATAATTCACTCAACAACGTACATGCTTGCATGCAAAGAAAGCGGCACTGTTTTAAATAGTTAGTGAACGTTTAAACATGCGGATTAAAAACTATAGAGTATAGTAAACATGATTAAAAACGTCGCGAGGAAATATTTTTTTTAATTAAAAAGACAAACTAAAATTAAAATATCTTACCTTGGTAAACAGTCAAACAGATCACGGATACAACGTGTGCTATAATTATACTTTGTGCTTTAGGTCTTCGCTTTCTAAGTTAGCAAAGTATTGCCTTTTTTTGTAACGGTTCTTCGGCGTTTCGGGACGTTATTCAAATTTTTCAAAATTAAATAATTATTATTTGTATTGTCTTTTAAACTCTCGCTCAATCCACGCAACCCGCGTGAAAATTCCCCGTGTTTCTATCGAGTTGTAGAAACACGGGTTCATAGTTGAGCTTTTGACCAATCAGCGCCCGTGTTTTTAAAAGGCTATTTTATAAATAGTACATATGCATGCGTGATACCAGCTAGCTTCCTCCGCAGGCCTCTCTTTGGGTTTTAGCCTGGGAATGGGTTTTGAAAAAAAAAAATTCTGGATTTGTGAGAGATGCCTGCGGAGGAGGCTAGCGTGATACAAAGACAAAGTATTGAATATTAAAAATCCCTCAAATATTAATAATTAATTTAATATTCAAAAACATTCGCTGATATTTCAGACTTTCAGTATTTCAATACTGACAATACATTCTTATTCGATAACAAAGTGTTCAATATATTCTTGGTTCTATTCTCTTTAGTTTAGCAGTTAAAATCATATTTTTATTTACAATTAAGAACTGAAAGCCATAATGGACCATATAGTTCCGTAACACTTGTATAGGGATATACATAATTTGCAGTATAGAGTAGCACAATGAAGAAATTGTGCTGGTGTACGGCGGTTCTAGAATTGTAACAACAAGATTAACAGCGAATAAATTTGATGTCCGAATGGAATCCCCTACATTGTCATTGTTGCCATATGGCAAATTAATATTTCTTACTTTGCCTATTAAAATAATCACTATATATTTACCTCTTCATAAATCTTCCATTTATTTTCAATCGTATGACCTCTGAGTTGTCCAACAGTACTTTCACGTAACGAGTTGTCCAGAACAAACAATTTCTTTTCACGAAGTATTTCTTGTTTCCGCTCAGCTTTCTTCTCGTACTTCTTCAGTTTCTTTAACTTTGCATGAAGGAACATCATGAAGATCTAACAAGAAATTAAAATAAAATCTCGTGAGATTATTTTGGAGGGTGAAGTCTATATAGCTCCTGTGTAAAACCTCTCTTACCAGTTACCTGTTCTAAAGCTCATGCAGATCAAACTTCGAAGGCGCCATAGCAATTCCAAACACTACCGCGCAGAGTGTGTTTGCATCGTGCTAGAATTCACATCTCCAGCTGTGGATTAGATATTTTAACCAATATAATTTTTAGTTTTAAGAGGCAAATAGACAGTCAATTTGAATATGTCATTTTGATGGAGGCAGAAACGGTAGTTTTAAAATATCATATTAACCAGTCATTAACGCGTCAACACTTCAAAGACAAAGTCGAGTGAATAAATCTGTTTATTATATAGTAGAGAGTGAGATACTGAGAAATACACAGTGACATATTTTCCACATTACACGGTGGCTTGAAGATATGACTTTTAGCTTCTCGTGTTAAAAACAGTATTTTACTCACTCGCTGCGCTCGTTCGTAAAATATTGTTTTCACCGCTCGAAGATAAAAGTCGTATATCTTCGCGCCGCCGTGTAATATCCTCTATACGGCGAAAATGTCACAGAACGCTATAGTCAGGTTCGGACGGATACTGTGAGTGTGATCAAAACGATTCTGCCTGGCTGTTTGTATTCAAATCCTTTTCGTATTATTACGAACTCGATTACAAAAATCATCCTGTTATTGCAGCATTTGGCAAAATGCTCGGTTTGAGACCAGGTCGCGCACGTACATACTCTTTGATACTTGAAATAAAGCAATGCCAATGGCATTCTCTATGACTATGTAGCCAAAATACACTGTATAATACCTATAAAAACTGTTACAAAATCCAAATAATTTATTTTTAATGGACTTATTAGATATAGTCATCTGTAAACTCACCGTGGTCAACTACAGCGAACAAGCATGCAATAAGCATGCAATTTGCTAGTGTTTAGCACTTATCACATTACACACAGACTATGTTGTAGTCAAGCAATTTGCCTGGCTTACGTTTGGCATGATATTGTTCAAGCAAGCACGTTTATCCGGTGCTAATCCTCATGAAGGGAATGCATATCCGTCACGTAATACGGATAATCTTACAATTACATGCATTACTAACATTTTTGACACAAAATTTTCTATGGCTATAATATAGCATGCAATATTATAATACTATTAAACACAAAGTTTTACTACATTTTAAAAGTTTTCTATAATACACTCATAATATCACAATAAATCTGACCACAACACCCCAGCTGACATTGATTGATCAACAATGACGTTTCAAGAAATATTAACACTTTCATGATGGAATTTTAAATTTCAAAATATTTGGGGTGTTATTACACGCCACACTTTTATTTCAACTTTCGTAAATGATAAACGTTCAGGAAAAGGAGACGTTCCTCTGGCTTGTTTTTAGTCTGCCCTGTGGTCTGCCGCACACGAGAGAAACTTGCTGAGCTGCATAACCGTCTCGTGTGGCGGCTATACCCAGTGGCGGCGCCAGGGGGGTGCAAGGGGGGGGCAAATGCCCCCCCAATATTATTTTTTGCCCCCCCCATTTTGCCCCCCCTCAAAAAAAATTATTAGTCACTAAGAGCGACTAAAGGCTACACAAGCGTTCTGTCGTTATCGGAAAATGTATGGCTTATAAGTTGTCATTACTCATTAGTGAATGCGCGTATACATGAAACTGTTTTTTACAGTTTCAGTATTAGTTTGTAAATCTCTGAATGGTAAAACTTGCCAATACTCCAATAATACGTTTCAAAAAAAGACAAAAAAGCTTTAGTTTTGAAGTGTTAAATTCTCAAACGTGTAAGGCAATAATAAGATGAAAGTATCACGAAATTATTTGAATAAACCACATCGCATATATGGGGGGCGAATGTCCTAAAGAGGAGCGATATTCCTAGGGTATTCGCCCCACCCCCCTGGGAGGCGATATTCCTAGGATATTCGCCCCCGGGGGCGATATTCCTAGGAATATCGCCACGTTTTGAGGGGGGGGGGGGCGAATTTCCTGGGAGGGGCGACCTTTTTAAAAATTCTATCTTGCCCCCCCCAAAATTTGAGTTTGCCCCTCAAATGCCCCCCCAAATTTGGAAGCCTGGCGCCGCCACTGGCTATACCTGAGCTACTGCATGCGTTTTCACCACACGTGTTGGGAAAACTACTCAACACTAGTCAACAGCAAGCAGGGATGCCGGAACGATGTGAAGGCAAGGGGGGGGGGCAGATTTTCGTGAAAGGGCACTTTTGAATTGATATATATACTTTGCAAAACATCAGGAGTTAAAATTCGCCTTATCATGTTTTCTAATTATTGGATGATAGGGGTGTGAGGGGGTTCTCCGCCAGGCGATTGTGCTATAACTGCTATTCTTGAAGCTCGATGACTGCATTTCTTCCGTTTTCTGAAGCAAATTCGTAAAAGAATTGCACTAACATTTCTGACAATTCGCTATTTCGCCAAGGCAATCCTTTAAATTGAAAGGGCACCTTTGCCCCCCCCCCTGCCCCTCCTGGTAAAGGGCAACGGGGGGCGGCTGCCCCTCCTGCCCCTCCTGCCCCCCCCA